AATTGGGGTGTTTTAGGGCGACTTTAACTTACCTCTGCCCAATCTCCTTGGAGATGTATCCCTTTGATAAGAACATATGCACAATGATGTTTGCAAGTGGTGAGATTGTTCGCTTAAAATATACGTTATACGTATACGTTGGAAAACGTCTGTTGTAAATTATCTATTTAGATGAGGAGGTTATTAACGACGTGAAGTTTACCTGGTCTCCCGTGGAACCACTCGTCCTGATGGATGACCTGGACCAAGCAGAATTTTGGGTGGACGCATCCATGGCCCGACACTGCCCGGAAGATACAATGCGAGGTCAGGTGGTTTCGTATTCCATGCTAAGAATGAAATTAACTTGAGTGAACTAAGACATATATTTTGTATAAAAATTTCCCAGGAAACTACAACTGTCTTCAAATCAACATCTCCATCACTCAAAAACTTGATCGTATCATGTTGTCCGTGTACTTACGGACGGCTGGAAGTCTCGTCACGATCTGCGCATCCATTATGTTCACACCGACCACGTTAACTTGGCTGACCATCCGAAATTTTATCCTCTTGGGGGCGGCTGTCCAGTGTACGTGGTGCGCCTCCATTCCTGCCACCACTGTAAATCTAAATACGTTGAACAAAATAACACCATTTGATGTGTGGACACTGGGATGCCACGGATTCGTTGTTATCGCCCTGATCGAGCTTATCCTCGTCTTTTTAATCCGAAAGTGCAAACTCATCAAGGGTCAAAGTTTAGCGGAGAATGTGGACCCGATTTGGGTCGAAGAAGCCATGAGGGTCTTCTATCCGATCGGAGTATCTGCTTTTGTTGGGGTATATTTCATCGCGTATTACGCATTGCGGGGGTAATTGTTTAGCGTACGTAGAGGAGCAAAACATTGAAAAACCTACCTTATAAGTTTTATATATGTATGTACCTTTAAAAATGTTTGTACCTAGTAAAATTCCTGTATACAAACGACATGAAATTATAAATATATATTTATGTACATACTTGAGGGTACATTTTGATGTTGAGCTACTTAAAAACATCTCAAGGACCATGCCGTTACCTGAAGTTTCAGCAAATTTATGTATTTCTCTTATCTTAAAATTTTGATTCTGCTCAAAAATCGAATATAAATGTGCTAAAAATTTAAGAAAAAAACATTTTTTACGTGCATAACTTGATTTTCGTAAGTACCTATGTATTGGCTATTAAGTATTTAATAAATTAGTGACACGCGGGTGATATGATATGCACAGTTTGAAACCAGTTTAAATATGATATTGCCATCTGCCATATTATGTAGTTAACACATTAGCACACAATTTAGCAAAGAGTGTTAGATAATGAATACATACATACATACACCGTTATGTAAATATTTGCTAAGAAATTCATAAAGTTTGCACTAATTTTGCATCATTACCTTCAAAGTTTACGTAGTTCTCTTTTTTGAAAATTATGTATAAAAGATTCGAAAACATTTCTAAGGATTTGAAAACTTTGGATAAAAATTTATTGAAGCATTAAATAAAAACTGACAATGGAGGCGCAAACCATGTTCAGCCTAGATTATTTTTTGACCATGTCAGTTTGGAAGAGCAAGTCTCTAGAAACAACATTTGGTTCACCACTTGCGCAGATGCGCAAAATTCAGCACGTTCTGGGCGCCACAAGTTCGCAAAAATGCATGATTTTTGATGCAAGGTCCAGCGAGAGCTCATCCTCGACCTCTTTTTGCGAACTTGTGGCGCCCATAACTTGCTGAATTTTGCGCATCTGCGCAAGTGGTGAACGAAATGTTGTTTCTAGAGACTTGCTCTTACAAACTAACATGGTCAAAAAATAATCTACGCTGAACATGGTTTGCGCCTCCATTGTGAGTATGATAAAAGAGTTATACACTGTACAAAATGTGATTAAGTCATATATGTGTACACTCCGTGATGGTATTGATTTACTGATAATTTCTCCCCGGGTTGGTAGCAGTTTGATTATGAGAACCACGTCGGTGTATATTTCTCACTATAAGGTAATGCCCGCTATCACCGCGCCGGTAAAGTCATAAATACATATATGCACTTCGGGTGGTGATTATTTAATACCGTGTTGCTAAGAGTGTATGAAAGTTAAAAACTACGAATCTGTTTCAAAACAATTTGACAACCTCCTTCATTCAGTAACACATATACATATTCCAATGTTATGTTCAGTCACATTAATACTACTCTAAATATACAATTCTGCATCGAGAAATAATAAGAACACATTTATGATTATCAAAATCCGAGATGACGAATATATAAGTCACGTGTGTGCCAGTTATTGCAGACCAGAGCAAAGTACAGAGGGTTGACTCATCTCGTAGTAAAAAAAAGTGCTGCCTCATTTGGACAAACCTGTCCCACTAATTGGACTTTGCCAAGAGAAACCTCGCAATGAAGTAAAGTCGTGGCCACTCCACCCATTATGTACATGACCACGTACATTCATATCTACAGTCAATGTAACAAGTATAGGCAACCCCCACACAAGCTAAGTATATTTGGCTATAACTTTGGAATGCATTATCAAATTAGCATGAAACGTTGTACACATTTGAAAAATCTAATGTAGTATCCGATTATAGTAATTTTTTACTGATTAAAATTAGATAAACACAGTTTTTGAATAATTTCTTGGGAAATTTGCAAAATTTACCCACAAAAAGTATTGGCACCCTTGAACTTAAAAATCATAAGGCAAAGAAACGCCAATTTTAATACGACAAATCGCTTCTGGTATTACATAGCAACTCCTCTCGATACAATAGGAGCAGAAACATGCCATCGAATTGACTCCAGAAGTTTCTTTCTGACACTTTTTGACATGACTGCCCACTCTTCTTTCGAAATTTTGCCAAGCTCGTTTTTCGACGATTGGTTTTCCACCAGTCGCTCTTTTCTCAACCCGGACAATCAGATTCACATCGGGAGACTGTGCAGCCAACAAAGGAAGCTTAACCTTTTCGGTCTCCAAAAATCTGCATCGTTAATGTGGATGCATGTTTTGGGGCCACTGCATTTTTGGAATATGAAATTACTTCCTATGTCAGGTTTTTGTCAAGTGTTTTAAAATTATCGTTTCGAATGATTAATTAGACCTCCTTGGTCATGATTTCATCGATAATGACCACGTAGCTACGCCGCGAACTGGTCATTTATGCCCAAACCATAATCGATCCTCCTTTATATTTGACTGCCATATGAACATATTCGTCTTTGTGAGCCTTTAATGGCACCCGCCAGACTTTAACCATTCAATTGGCTCCAAATAAGTAGAATTTGCTTATGTCGGACCAGTAGACCCTTTTTCGTTCATTGGAAGTCTGTTTAGGGTGGTGTTTAGCTCATTACAATTTATTGAGTTAGTTGGTTTTGGGGACCCCCGCGTCAGTCGGGCTTCTGGACCCTGAAACCCCATTGCATGATTTTTAATTGATCACCAAATTGAATGATATATTAACCCCACACTTGGTTCTCAAATTCAACATGGTTTTGGGAGCCGAAATCTTCCGATCTCGAGTGATTTCTTGCTTGATTAATCTGTCGATTTTAGGCTAAGGTGACTTTTTTCAGTCGGATCATGGGAAACCAGCAATTTAAAATATCGCTTCATGTTTTTTGGCTAAGTTTCGAATAGTAAATATTGCGGGGCATGTTTTATGTTAGAGTTTTTGATATCCAAGCTTGTTTGAGAAGGAGGCAAGATTATTTCTCGCTCCGCCAAAAATAGCTCGTTTGGTGTCGCAATTTTGGCTCTAGACAATACCAATCTGGACTTACGAAGCAGATAAAGTTATATTTTGTGATCTGATTAACTTACCGTGACAAAAGGTAGAGGTTTATCGTCATAAAAATTTCGCACAAGCAATTAAGCCATAGGTTGCCAATACTTTTTGCAGGTTGTAACCTGACGCGTTTGTGTCAAAATCAGAATAACGTTACGGTTGTTTGATTTCAGTCTGGAACATGATTATAATCGAACACTACATTAGATTTGCTAAATGGGTACAAAGTTTCATGCTAATTTGATGATGCAATCCAAAGTTATAACCATTTTTATTTAGCTTGCGTGGGCGGTGCCATATACTTGTTCCATTGACTGTACATAATTAAGCATAGTGTGTATGCATTTACATAGTTGTGTGTGCGTCATGACGATTTACCGATAAGCACGAAAACAATTGCTGCAGGCCCGTTTACATAATAGGGGTGCACTCAAAATGGCATGTGTTGTGTGTATGTGCAGGTATACATACACAAGTGGCCGCACATGAGGTATGTGATCCATGTTCGGAAAATGTTGACCCCCCCCCCCTTAATTAACATGGGCAGGATAGGATACCTTTATACCCCCCCTCAAATCAATCACATGCTTTCTGCACAGTCCCAAACTGACTTCTTAAATATTTAGTCTTTGTCCAAAAAAGTTCAACATAATTCGGGGAAACAAGGCGCGATTTGGGTCGGGGTGGGGGTCGACAGGGGGTGGATTTGGGTGGGGGTGGGTGTGGAATTATAAATCCGGAGAAATGATTAATAAGCTAAGACGGACGCTTTACGAGATTTTTTCAAAAAATAGGAATTTTTACCCTTGTTTCCTAAAATATTTTACTTTACGTAGAAATAGTAAGTATCCGCAATATTTTTCAAATTTGTACATATTATCAAATTTTACTGGCATTTAGTTTCTAATTTTTCCTTTAATAAATCCGACAATTTAACTCGACGAGTTGAGTATGCCCAATTTTGTCTGTGGCCGGCCTTGTGGTGCTGGAGGTAGATAAAAAACGGAATAACACGTCGCTCTAAACCTGTTTTATGCCAGTCATGCTCAATATTGTGCATGCATGTGTGTATGTATGTATGTACCTCATACTGAAACGATAACAATAATACTTTGTATTACTTGTGTTTTTTTCCCTGGTCATGCACATTTATTATGTATTACTCACCACACTATATATTTGACCTTCATTCCCAAAACCTGTCGTCAGTCAGTCAGTGTCCATACGAAAGCTGGGGAAGCCGTGAAATATTTTGTGCTGTAGAAACTTGGCCAGTTTCTTTATAAAAATATACGTAGAAATTTTCATTATTAAGCCCAGTAATTCATAAGGTGAGTCAAAACTAAAATCGTGTTATGATATGTAACCCGTTAACTCGAAATAGTAATTAAAATCTTTTAAACAAACTGTCAGATGTGTACTTTTTGGTAAATTCCTTTATTGAATTGTTACATATTCGCGTAAGATTTTTCCATTTGATTTTTTCAATTAATTCGGTTGGGTTGAACCGCATTAGAGTTAGAAACTGTAATTAAGATTTTCGATTTCGATAAGAGTCATTAATATATGTACATATTTTTGTGAACAATTTTTACAAAAAATAACTGTCCAGTTTTTGCATGATTTTTCATAAAACAAGAAATTTATTATTTATTTAACGTGTAAAGGATTGTAAGACATGTCGATAACTTACATTTACCATAATTGTGGTTTTTGCATTATTCGCAAGTTTCCTCACCGTCGGCCCATCATAATAAAATTATTACTTCCATACTTTGCAACATTTTAAAATTGCAAATTAGCTGAGTACTATTTTACGTGTCTACGTAAATAATTCACAATTTCAACTAAATTAGACTAATTTTTTCTCGAAATTATTTGCATGGGATAGAATCATGTTTTGTTTTGCATTAAGTCAATTCTGAATTCCAATACCGAGTTCTAACTTAATTTAAAGATTTTAGAAAATCCGTCTGAATCAAGCTTATCTTCTTGCAATAAAATTCTTCTAAAAAATTTTAAACCATGTTACAAGTTTTGCAATTCATTATCAACACTTATTACATATTCATAAATATTCCAACAAAGGGTAGAAAAGTATTTTTAGAAATTGTGAAGTTGAATTGATTCGATTAGACTAAAAAATGCAAAAGTAATTCATAATTTTATTAAATTGTAGAATTACAATTTGTTCAAAATGACGTCGAAATGCAGCAAAAAGGAACATTTCTCGACCAAAGATATTCCCTCCTTGACCGGAAGAATTGCCCTGGTCACTGGCGCCACGGGTGGAATAGGATACCAAACGGCGCTTGACCTTGCCGCCGCCGGAGCCACGGTGTTGGTTGGGGGACGGAGCGAGGCCAAGGGGAAAGATGCTGTGGACAAGATCAAGGCCGCCGTGCCAAACGCGGACGTCTCCTTTGCCATGATTGACCTGGGAAGTCTCGCCAGCGTCAAGAAATTCGCGACCGAGTATAACGCCAAGGGTCAAGCTTTAGGTTAGTAGAAAAAATTTGCAATTCTAAACTGAAAAAATATGCACATATTTCTTGGTATAAATCAATCAACCTAAGCAGAACAATTTTGCAAATTTTGCCCTATTTCAGAGCTTTTCATAAACAACAACAAAATTCATTTAATCTAAGCATAACAACTTTGCAAATTTTGGCAATTTTCAGACATTGTCGTAAACAACGAAATATATTTCCTTGCCTATAATCAGTCAGTCTATGTAAGCATAATAATTTTGTCAATTTTGAGACATTCTCATCAATAACAAAAATATTATCTTGCTTAAAATCAGTCAATCTACGCATAATAAATAATTTTGCAAATTTACACATATTTTCACAAACAACAAAAAGTATTTCCTTTGCCAAAATCAGTCAATCTAATAATTTTGCCAACTTTTTCAGACATTCTCATCAACAACGCCGGCATCATGGCGCCACCAGAACGTCTCACGACCTCTGACAACTTCGAGATCCAACTCGGCACCAATCACCTCGCCCACTTCGCCCTCACGGGCCAACTCCTCCCCTCCCTACGACGGTCCACGTGCTCCCCACGTGTCGTCAACGTGTCCTCCATCGCCGCGAAGGAGGGCGCCATGGACTTCGACGACCTCAACTGGAACAAGTCATACAGCGCGTGGAATGGCTACCGCGCCTCAAAACTGGCCAATCTCCTTTTCACCGCGGAGTTCGTGAAGCGCGCGGACCTCGGAAACTGGGGGGTCACCTGCATCTCCGCGCATCCCGGGGTGGCAAAAACGGACCTGATTTCAAACGGCCCGCGGGACGATACCCTGGTCGGAAAGGTGATAAATGTCGCGAACTATGTAATGTCGCATCCCGTCGAGAAGGCCGCGCTCCCGTCAATTTACGCCGCAGTTTCGCCAGACGCGGAAAAGGGCGGGTATTACGGGCCGAACGGGTGGTTCGAGATGAAGGGCGAGGTTGCAAAGGCCTTCGTACCGGAGAAGGCGAAGGACCCCGCCTCGGCGAAAAGATTGTGGGAGGAGAGCGAAAAGTTGACGGGGGTTAGTTGGCCGGCCAATTAAATTTTATGGGAAACCAAGCAAGCAATTTATTCTTTTTTGTTCATTGATAAGATAAGATAAGATGGGTGGGGGTGATGGTGGGTGTTGATTAGTTGTAAATCGTTAAGGTGTTAGTGTGTGAACACGTGGTTTAAAAAAATAATTTTAACCTGTCCAATTTTAAGGGCAATGTATGTTTTTTGGTCAAAATAAAATCTCAACAAAAAAAATCGACTGTAATCTTTCTTTATTCATGCATGTTCATGTCTTATTACTCTCGTATAAACAAGTAGCGTCGTTTAATTGACAAAAGTTATGCGGTAAGTCAACATGTTTTTTTTAAATATTGTAACATTTTATAATTCGTCTTTTCCCTTTGGAATTTGCTGAAGAAAATGTGGAATAGAGGTAAGTTTTCCAAGCTATTTTATCTAGTCAAAGGCCCTACATCGCACCTGCGATCGTACCTCTATGTGACCCTGCTAAATTTTTACGGGAAATCTTATAACAGAACTCTAGCGGGTACCTATTTCATAGGTATTTTATAAATAAACAGATATGAATAATCAATTACATCATTACAATTATCAAGCCCCGTATATACAGAGCATGGGCCCTCCTTACGTAGAAATTTTCAAACGCTCGCACGAAAAAACTGACACCACTTAAACAAACCCGGCCTACACTGTTTGATAGGCAAACCAATTAGATAATACTCTGATTTTTTTTCTACTCGAAGCTCTGAAAAATGCCTCCTCCCTGACCATTTTCAGTGGAGGGAGACTGAAAAAGTTCTCCAGTCAGAATTTCGCCGGAAATGTGATTAAAAAGGTTGAATGTACGTAGGCATGAAATTTCTTTGGCCCTAATTTATACAATAATAAATGTAGGAGGTGCTAGAAGACGAGTCATTAATCAGGGACTGCCTCCTCACCGTATAAACCGCCTCCTAGTAAATCGGTAGAAACAGCTAAAAACGAAGCTCAAACTTTTGATCAAGCAGGAAATCCCAAAGAGCATTCACAGGATGGCGAAACTACTGAAATCGAATCTCACAACTCTTCAACGAGTCACTAAAAGAGATTGAGACAAAATCAAACGGACGAAGACAAAACTGCATGCGTTGAACCAGCGTTACATCACCAATTGCCACTTTTCGCAAAAAAAAAGCTGTACCAGAACCACCTTGTTGGAGGTAGGGATAAAAAAGTTATCACAATCGATCAAGCTTTGTTCAGGGTAGATGACTTGAACGGGACAAGGTCAATTTGCTGTGCGTTGTGGAGAAAATGTACAAATTAGCTACGACTTTAGATGGAAAGTTTTTTGGACGAGTGGTTAAAAATAAGCCTTCAAAAGTGTCACAAGGTATTTTCATCAAGGAAGTAGTACTGTAGACTTTTAGCCCAGAACAAGGGGCATCACATCGAGCAAGTTAATTGTCCAAAAAACATTTATACATATGGAGGTTAGAAAAATTGTTGAAAATTTCTACGTAAGGATGGCCCATGCTCTGTATAATCTGATCAAGGTTTCGTACCTGCTCACGACTTGAGTTGGGAATTCTATTGGAATACCCAACTGCAATTATCGAGATTGATTGATAATAAGATAATTAATGCATTTTTCACCATCGGGTGATTAGATATTCAACAAGTTGTCAATTATGTGGAACTAATGGATCCACTATCTAAACCAATTTATTTTATTTTCCTGTTAACGTGACTTACCCATACATAGATAGTAAATGACACATGAAACAGATTTCGTAATTATTAACACATAAGCTTCGTCGATTGTGCTTCAAAGAAATGGGGTATAAAAATTCACCAATTTAAGACAGGTGTTATCTACACACTTCAAAAAACAGTTTTGCATATTTAAGGCTATGCAAATATTGCACGAACGTCGCATCTGCAGCTTTATGTCACCTAGAAACGGATATGCAATGTTTATATTGCTCAATGTCGGGACTAAAATTACAAACTTCACTGTAAATATACGAACGAATGAACTGTAAGTACGTATGCGTTAGCCGAATAAAGCTACATATTTAACTAAATATTAGTCTTGCCATCATACTTTACGAAATTTGAAAACCCCGACTACCCCGAATTTCAGTGAGTACTGGTCAAATTTGCTATCCCAAAACCTGCAAAACCCGAATAACCCAAAAACCCTGGGTATCTAGCATACCCTGCTTTCACTATAATTCTTCAAAACAAAACATACTTATTTATTTGCATTGTTCCTCTAACAACCAAACCCCGTCCATGTTTAGGCTATTTATTTGTTCAATAATTCAGCTCGTAACGCCCATCGACGTATCAGTTAATTATATGTTAAATCTTCATTGAAAATGTTTTCTCCACGAGGCAAACACTTTGGCAAAAATAAATTGCCCGAAATGATGGAACTTTTCAAAATAGCGAAGCCCCTTTTTGACGTGAACTTAATCTCCTTCGATTCTGGATTAAATAAATTTGCGAAAAGGCGAAAAACTAGGATCATTTGGGTAAAACTTGCTGCATCTTATCTCATCTTTGGAGCAGTTTGCTTAAATGGTTTGTACTCGATATTATTCACCAAATCGGGAATAGTGGAAACGTCCTTCATCTTGCTTGTGATACTTGTCTTCTTCTTAGCAATGATAATCTTTTCGCCCATGCTTATCCGGCCGGGTCCTTTCGTATCCTTGCTAAACGGAAGACAAGCATTCATATTGGAAAATATCCGTGCAAACTTCTTGAGTAAGTTAATCTCTTTAGATGAATTTTTACGATTTTCATATTTCATTAACCTCTTTACGACGAAGTACACATATATTTGTGCAGTAATTTATGTATGCTTCGTTGAAGATGAATGTATAAATATTTGAACTCTATAAAATTAATGACATCAGAATTTCTTAAAAAAGTAATTTAAGAATAGGACTAAAGTGATAAGATTTTCTTTAGAACAATTTCTTTCCTATTTTGTAGTAACACGATGGTAAGTAATAAGTTGATTTTACTTCACAAATTTCTGAATTTTTCTTATAGGAAGTAACGTTAAAAAGTAGATTTTCGTGCTTTCGGCGAATAGTTGATTGAAAATTTTAATTATTTGCTATCAATCAGGTGTACATACTTATGTAATCAACATCGTCCCGAAACGAAATTTTATTGAAAAAAATCCGTAGTACGAAAGCTGTTAATGAATATTTTATATATTACTTAGATCCTCCCACAAATCTAGTTGCCAAGTGGAAATTCATCTCCGAATTGTCGCACATTCTATCCTACGGGGTACGGATAGCGGTACCGGGTGTGTTAGTGTTACTCATGTTTCTCGAAACGGGTCTCAACTGGATTGTTCATTGTGCCAGGCAAAGGTGGGCACGTGTTTCTCACGGTGGTGCAGGCGTGGGCAATTTTCTCCCTGGCTGGGCCCATGACTTGCTTTATGTTCACGGTCCTTTGCGACTCGCTGCATTGTGCGGTTGAACATCTTTGCTATCTAAAGAGGTAAACGTTTAAAATGTGCATGTCTCTATATTTATGTATTTTTAAATGAATCCTTTCACGACCTTCGTAACTGTGGATTTGTAAAAAAAATATTCGTAATTTTACGATATTTACGAAGGCTTGACGTGAAAGACCCTTCGTAAAAAATATTTCGTACAAAGTGTATTCGATTTTTTATTTTTGTGAAAGTATATTAGCTTTTGAAACGGGCCAAGGATATATTCAAAATGGTATTTAAATGATTCCAGGAAAAAAATGATTCCAGATTTTCCCTCTTTAGTTATCTTACTATTTTAATGCTATGTTAACAAAAACCTATGGCGCTCAACTTCCGTCGTCTATATTTCAGGTCGGATGGCCCATCTCGTAGGATAAGATTGACCTTGGCCTTACAGATTTACAAGCAGCTGCACATCTTATTGGCGCAAGTTAACCTCTGCCTGCGTGAAGTGTGCCTTCTCACATTACTGGTAGCCGTAGTCACATCGAATATTTTGGTAATGAGCTTGACCATTTTATTAAGATTACTTGATCACGTCGGGAACTTATTCTTTCCTTTGGCTGCTGCTATTGCGAATATTTTTATCGTTTTATTGGGCACGTTTGCCGGCTATGTGCACAAATGGTCGGCGAAATGTTTAACCAAGTTTAACAAGAATTGTTCAGTTAATTGTTGTGATAAGATGGGGAGAAAATTGATGGGCAGGGTTATCAGGTTGTGTACCCCGATGAAAATCAGATTCGGTAATAATTTCATGGCAATTTCGACACCCTTGGTTATCTTGGGTTTGTGCGCAAAGTACACGATTCGCCTGCTGCTAATGCAGTAACTTAGGAAAAACTAAAATCAGCAATAATGGAGGATTTACACAAGTTTCCGAAAATTTCCAAAGTTTGTGATTTTAATAAGTTACCTCATTTTAGATAAGTTATCATTATGTAACAAAATTCATAAATTTGAAGTTTGTAGGGTTTTACTTCGTGGCCACAGTTTCGCAAGTAACCATGTTTCAAAACCAAGTTGGGATGGACATACTTCCTGTGCAGATAAATAATAAATATAGTTTGGAATGTGTGTCTTGTTTCACGCGTCCATGTGTAATTTTCAAATGCATAAATTATTATTAAACGTTAAACCTAAAATTATAAACTTCTTAACTGTTTAATTATGTGTGCACATGAATGTATCACATCAGCCCACAAACACCTGTTCAATTTAGTCGAGTAATAAAATATTTAACGTTTTACGTTATGACTGGTAACACCAAAACTGTTGCGTTTATTTTGTTAAAAAATGACTTTAGATAGTTCAACGGGCCCAAAATTTTCACAACCCGCTACACTCGAAGATTTTTTTTTTTCAAATTATGATATTCCCTCTATGAATTATATCCATTTTATCCACTTTGTTTAATTTTTATGCATTTTTGTTTATGCATTTTGTTTTAGCGTTCTTTGGCGTGCACAATGTTTTCATTAAAGTGAACACTTATATCTACACCATACGTGCTCCGTGTCGTGGGCAATATGGGCTGGTCCTACCGCCCGATTTCAGTGCATAATTTGGATTTGGTGCTTCCTGTCTCATTTTTGCCAACTTATGCCAAAATGATGCAATTTGCATGCATGTGAGTGTAAACGTCACATTAGTTTGTTAGTTAAATCGTTAGTTAAATCGTTAATAAAAAATACATTGTTTATTAATACACAACTGTATGGATGTACTCATCTCGATTGAAAATATAAATCCTTGATAAATATTATTAATATTTCTGATATTCCTTAATATTTGCCCTGAATTATCTTCACAAGAGAAGGAAGGTGATCAAAAAATCGATACATTTCTGCTAAATAACAAATGACGTCAATTTGTCAAAGAATCCACCATTTCCCAACGACAATTTTGACGGGGGGCAAGACAGAATAAAACGATGCTCCAATTTCGAATACCTTCCCATTTTCACGAGACCAATAAATTCAAGAGATTTGACATAAGGATACGACAAAATTTTAAAAACTGAATGAATAATTACGAAGAAATCGATTACAACCAGAGAGAACAAAATAAGCACAGGCAGTGGAACGACATGATTGGAAGTGATCATTAAAAATAAAGCAATACTTTCACAGATAGTGCAACTAAACGCAAGGACAACCATGGAGGGCACGCAGAACACAAAGTTATGAAAATTCGATAATAATTGTAATGTTCTATACATGGGTAAATCCGTCCATCGATTATTCGTCTTCCTATTTGTGGGAAAACATGACAAATAATAAGGCAATTCAATAAATCATTGTGAAACGTGTAAAACCCCTAAACGTACAAAGTCTTTCTAGGCTTACAATGTTTTGAAACACCAGTGTATTTATTCACTTTAGAATTTTCAAAAGCTCGGCAATTTTTTTACGAAACTGACAATGGAGGTCTCCCAACGTATTCTCATAAATTTGGAACAAACCTACGTCAATCGATAACAAATATTATTAGTATGAAATTTTTAAATGGAATAATCTGCCAATGCTTAAGTTTAGCCGAGACATTTGCATAAAAAGTGGAGGAAACGTATCCCCAAGGCTGGCAAATTTTCCATTTCCCAAATTTGCTGCTCATTTTTCCCACATTAGATGTAAATATCTCATTCCATTTGCAAATTTCATACTAATTATATTTGTAATCGATTGAGTCTAGTTTGGTCCAAATCTGTGAGCATACGTTGGGTGACCTCCATTGTGAGACCTGACTGACTACGTTAATTTGATAAGTTGTCCAGCTATCAATGAGGGCGTGAAATGGCTTAATGAATTAAGCAATTTTTTGTTAGAGGTTATTAATTTCTAAATAAGTACACTAGGCCGTTCTTTGATTTTTTTAATAAGAAACTGCCAACCGCAAGTTAAAAAGCTGCACTCAAAAGTCCTCTTATTGAAAAACTCAACCATAAATATTTATCACTCTACCGTTTCATGAAGGTGATTACCAATAACTTGACTTCGACAGGATACATGAGAACAATCAAAATCGCAGCAGCAACAATGCTACAGGCCGTAAACCATGTGTAGAATTCAAACAGAGAGACAAGAATCCTTAGTGAGAAGGTGGCATTGCCATCATGCCCCCAGGAGGGGCACCTGAGCCAGAAGCCACTGATGACTGGCGGCATGCATGGTTTGACCAAACTCAGGAGGAAAATGGCGGTTGGAAGTAGCATTAAACTTATTGTAAGACAGCCCCACATTAAGACGAAGTAATTAGATACATGGCTTTCTCGAGGTAGTCCTGCTCAACAAAAATTAATCATTACCATGAGGTAATTATATTCGGACTTGTTTAAGGTCCCCCTGCATCCGGGCTTTGAATTTGAATTTGTTTGTTTTTGTCCAAACCTTGTCTTGCTCTGTGTATGTACATACAGATGTACTAAAAGGTGATTTTAAACCTTTTTATTGGTATACGTTTTTTATTAAATAAAGGTTTTGAGAGGTTAGAATTTTTTTCCTGCATGAGAACATAGATAAAAAAAATTACAAGCAGAAATAAGGCATTTTCTCAACGAAGAGAAAGTAACAATATGACTCTTAACTCTGTAAACTAAACAGCTACAGATTTTTAGGTGAATTAAATTCTTCAATTTCTTAAAACCCAAAAGGTTTCAAGAAAGATAAAAATTCAAACTCGAAACCCGCATATAAAGGAAATTAAGTGTATCTACCTCCTTTTCTGCGACACTTTAATTCTATCAGTAGTGAAGAATTTAACAGAATAATAAACCGTCGCAAACGCGCATACGGAAGTAGCTTCAGACGTACTTCACCCCAAACGGTCCCACCACAACTCGGGAACACTTAATTTCACTCTATTTCACCTATAGATTAATTTTTTGTAAAAATCTCATTTTGCCCCAACCACACCCCCTGGCGCCGAGGGGGTGTGGCACAACTCCGGAACACATAATTTTACTCTATTTCACCTATAGATTAAATTGCACTAAAAATCTCATTTTGCCCCGACCACACCCCCTGTCGCCAAAGGGGGTGTGGTCCGGTTGCCCCCAAAAGTTGATAGGATCCTCCCCCTGGGGTCCTATGTATGATGGCGAAAACCGATTTCGATTATCTCGATCCGTTCTCCTGATATCCTGCTGACAGACAGACGGACAGACAGACAGACAGACAGACAGACAGACAAAGTCTTCACATAAAGTAGCTGAAGCTACTTAATAAGTTCTTTCTCAACCCGATTCACATGCACAACGGCGAACGAAGTGGCACCAAACAGTGTGATGCAATACATTATGAAAATAGATTTCCAATTTTCGTCAGATTGGTGACTTTGAAAGTATTGAATCCCGAACAACAAGATGATGCAGAGGATTAAGTGTAAAAGTAGGGTGGACAGGGCGAGAAGTCGGAGTGAATTCGTGTACCAAGAGCACTTACAAGGTTTAAATGCTTTGTTGTCAAAAATTACTCAGATAGGATTTACCAAGAGACCCAGTTTAGCCATGAAGGTTACTAATGGAATGTTGGATTCATGGTGGGAAGGGAGCCGCAGCTTTTTTAAATTTTTAAGTATAGGCTGCATAATTTTCTTATCTTAAATTAAAGCAAAGTTGGTTAAATTGTTCCATCTACCAGACTATTGATTGCTGGTTGCAGTAAAGTTAGTCCAAAGCTGTATTGAGTAGTTGGCTTCAGTGTCAATATCAATTAAATAAATTTGTACGTGTCCAAAATTTGATCCTATTTTATCAAAAAAATTTTGAGCGACTTTACTCAATGGTTATGTACATTTCGTGTAATATTAAGGAGTTCTGATAAGTCTGATGCTGTTTATCTTCAGATCGGGACACACTTAACAAACTTATGGTAGGAAATGTGGCACTCGAAATTTTAATTTTTCCAACTTTGACCTGAACCATTTTGACAAATTCCAACAATCACACTAAATTCTTAAGCAAACGTTGTTACATTGACGTGGGCAACACAATTTTAAAATTTCAACCAAATTGAAGTGTCGCACTTCACTCTATCGCATTGAGAGTTATTTCTAATGTAACATGTAATAAGTATTGTCTATGGAATTGTGTCATGAGGTGACCGTTTACAGACGTAGATTTATGGCAATTCTTAAGGCTTTATTTTTGTCGGAAATAATTAAACGGTGTGGAATACTTGAGTTTTTGAAATTTAGACGATATCCTTTGAAATTATATGCACCGTGTCGAACCGTTTGAAATTCTGCAGTTTTGTAAATACACCTCCCCGCACGATCGGTATGATAAAAACCTGCTTGGGAGAAAGGTTGAATAAGATATGGAGACAACCACAATTACTGCTATTGTACATACGCATTTATTTATACTAGTCAAACTTTAACTCGGCCCTTTTAAATATTTTGTAACAAGATTTAGGTACGGAGCTCTTCGATTACTAGTACACTTTTGAATAAATTAGTGGCACGTGGGAGATAAGCCGAACCAATTTATGATCTTGTTACGTAGAGTAGTTAATTTAAATGCAAACGATAATAAAAAATACGTGCCTTCAGACGACACATATACCTATGTATGTACATATTTATTTGCAATTTTGAAATTAAAGGTTTTATTTAAATTACTTTTTTATTTCTTTAAATGTCCCTTGCGGAAAAATAGCTATTTTACATAGAAATTTAAAAATTTGTAGAAACACGTTCGTACAAAGGACTTCGAGGCTTTTAATTTTGCCTATCTTTGTAAAATATAAGATTAAAATTGGTTACTGTAATTTCGTAACTACATGGGAATAAAATGCAAATTTCCGGAGGTTCAGGTTAGTCAGATAATTGCACGCGTTGGTAAATAATTTGCACACTAAAGGGGATTAATAGGATCTTCCTTTTATTTCAACTAGTTTCCAATTAAAAGAATTCAACAGAAGTGTACGAATTAGAGTCCAAATATTGATAAAGTAGTACACCCACCAATTTTAATTATTTATTGGCAATTTAAGAACAAAAATCATCCCAAATAATTCAATTTATTGCCAATTTTCAGTAAAGAACTGGACAATTTGCATCACGGTATCCACCTTATTCTCATCCGACCAATTATCCCAGTGTCCACCGGGGTACAGCGTAAACTTATTCGTAACTCCGATCTCTTCCAGTTTCGCGCGTAAAATGTACATTTGCGATGCGGGAATGAGAAAGTCTAACGTGCCAAAGAACCCGATCGTTTTAGGGGAATCCGCATCCACGTGGTAAACCGGGCTGGCGGCGACATATTCTGCCGGGCATTCCGCGTGGAGACAGGGTCCCACAAAATTAAAGAAGCGTTCCCGCTCGGAATGGTTGTCGTAGGCGGGATCGGTGAGATCCGTGGGGCCGACAATATTCACGATGACCTTCACATTTCGGGCGACCTTGTCCCACGAGTAGCCGTACAGCGTGGCGAGATGACCGCCGGACGAGGTCCCGAACATGGCGAAGGTGACCGTTTGAGTGAACGTGTTCTGCATGAAGGTCACCACCGCGTCGATGTCTTCTAACTGTTTGGGAAATCCGGGGCTCGCGTGAGATCCTAAGATGTGGTAAATCCAATAAAATATCTTAATTTTGAGAAAAAATTGATCCTTATTTTTAATAATTATGTGACAGTCATTTGTTCAAGCTGCTTTTCGTAATATTGTAAAATCCGTAAATTCTGCAGAATTAAGTTATGTACAACGGTTGAAAAATGTTACAGTTATTTTTACAGAAAATTAGCCTGTAAATTCTTAAGGTCCCTGTGTAAAATTGTTTTACACTACGAACCGATTTTACAAATTGTGTCCAAATAACTGCGTCAATTGTGCCATTAATTTTGGAGCTTATTTAAGTATTTCTACTGATTCCGGAATAATAGAAATTTTTCAATTTTTTATCTGTGTTAGTGCAAAATTAGTAATAACTATTTAATAATCACGCTCTGTAAAATATGCGCAAGGTTAATTAAAATGCAATTTGACAGTAATTAATGTGCACATTCATTTGCACTGGAGTTAATTCGCATCTATTTAAGTAGATAAATTTATATGTAGGTGCATGGAAATTTGAAGAATTTTGATTAAACCCTGCACACGGTGATGTACCTACCGTGACGAAAGTTGATATTGACGATGCAAATCTCGGGAAAAAACATTTCCAAAAACGCCACAATTTCCCTCATCCCATCCTTGTCGCCACTGTCCCAGGACCCACCGTGGATTAGGATGATCACCTTGGAAACCTGCGTTGTGTCGTTGGAGGGCAGGTAAATGTCCATGATTTGATTGGGATCAACACCATAAGCCACGTCGGGAATGAGGACGCTCCCTGATTGCAAATATTGGCAAAAGAGTGTGCTTCAATTTTATTGTAATGATGTTAATCACCATTTTTAATTGGTTTAATTAGATAATTTAATTTATATTTCTGTTACCATGAATTGTCCCAGCGAGAGGAAGGAGTAGGACAGCAACTAGTTGAAATTTTAACATTTTGATTGGAAGATTTTTAGCAGTGCAAATTTTTTTTGCAGTTCTAAAGTCATGAATATGTAAGAAATTAACCACGTCTGCCAGCTTAAATACTCGGATTTCTCGAGTGTTTGCAAATGAGCTGATGTGGAACAAGCCGGGACAGAAGCAGAGCAGGGTTTATAAAACACCTGAAATGAATTCTAAGTACATTGATTTATTTATTTTGAGTAGATTGTTACGGCTGTAGAAGTTTTGTTTTCAGGAGATCACTAATCGTCAATTTTTAAAATGTCTTGGTAATCATGCCTGTTCAGTTGCATTCATTTGACTGATTGTGACTGTGAATGAAGATAAAATTCCTGTCATTTGAATGAAAATGAGTCAAGAATTCTGTAACTTCAGATGAATGACTGTAAATGAAATATATTTCACATCTTTAATTTTTTATCCCATATATGAATTAGACGTGGGGCGAAGTAAAAAATGAACTCTGATCAGGTGAAATGATATGAATTTGAAAGAAAATGACTGAATCGTTTGGAACCCTAACTTAAAAACTGAGTTGATAAAGTTGTTATTGCAGAATGCCTTGATAAGCACTTTATCATGTCGGGGTTTGGTGCTGTATGTACTCAATTCATTGTGTCGACGCTTGAACAATGGCCAATTATCCGTTGATGGATGATGACATGATCTAATTGAGAGCATAATCACTTGACCATCAATTAATTTTGATCTACATACAAACATACGATTAATTATTACAAGTGCATGTTACAGAGATTAAATATGAAAGTCTGTATAGTAGAAGAAACTGCCATGCACAATGACGACTGAAGTCTCCCAGTTTACAGAATAAAGAATATGAGGCCCTAATTCAGAAAAACGTCAGAGTTTCACATGTACATGTTTAGGTAAATAAACCGTCGTGCGAATAAGCCATACGATCAAGGGAACATACCTAAGTGTCCAATGAATTAATGACAGATCATAGTGCATAAATTATTCTTCAAACTATTGAGGGTAAATTTCCCGTTCTGTCACGTTGTGACGATATTTTCTAGCATCAAAAGAATAGTCACAAAGCAGAAGAAATAAACGGCCGAATATTTTACTTTCAGGTCGAACACGCGTTCAATACAAAATTCGTTATATACAATTTATTCCTATAAATACGCTTCATTTACATTCATTTAGATTTATTTGTGGATCCATCGAAGTGATTGGACACCTCGAAATGTTCCCTTGTATGACTGATATCATAGCTAGTATAGTAATTTAAATTATTTTTCAAAGTTCCGTCATTCCAAAAGCTGATATTTAAATGCCCTTTAAAAAATGTATCATCCTGCATGATTCATCCGCGTGTCAATGTCTCAATATCGTTTTTGACCGAATGGTAATAGATAACCAAAATGTCCCACCAGGTGACAAAAACCAAACCATCATAATAACTGAGTCATATGTACCAGCATCCTGCCGACATCGAATGTTACAAAACTATCCCCATGATAAAGCTTGCTTATCAATGCATTTGTCGATATGCTTGATATGCTCAATTTCAATATCTGATTATTAATTATCGATACACACGTCTAAATTAAATTTGTTGATGATTAGGTGACAAAGAAATTAAAAGTTCGTTCACTTGTGCTCAACTCGTCAATCGGAAAGCAAGCTGGTGCGACAAACAGACCACGAAATGTGATACCAATTTAGACATTAAATACATATTTGATCACAATGTCTGCAACACAAGAATCCACCTGTGCTATTAATAGTGTTGTATCTTACTACTCGTAAGAACACGTTTTTGAATTTGGTTACATACAACCTTAAGCTTTAATTTAAATAATTTGATCAACACTATTTTAGCATTCTGAAAAATTACCTTTACGGCATCGAGGAGAAAAACGAAACCAAACACAGACACCCCTGCAGTACAATGTCCATTTTGGCAATGTACGCTTGCATAATCGTTGGATGGATTGTGTAAGGATCTTTCTTTCAGATACATACAAAGATAAGTATTTTGTAAGCAAACTGCAGGGAGACGTGTTACCTCCCTTACAATGCAAGTCTTTTACGTGTACAACTCACTAGGGGTACCTTTTACCTGATAGGCGAAAAATGAGTTCTAATTTAACTTTTTGCATACATCATACTACGTTTCAAGCGTAAACTGCAAAATTTTTTCTGAAAATTCAATTCGCGAATTTTTTATTAGGCTCCGAAGATTGCGAAATAATGGGTGAAGGAGCAGGGGAGTGGGAGTGGAGGGCCGCCCTCCGAGGGCGAGGCTGACCGAGCTCGCGAGGTCAACTCTCCCATGCTCACTCCACCTCTTCATTCGTCACCCTCCGTTTGCATTTCTCCAAATAAATTTCAGCATTTCAATTGTGATTCACATTACCCAACCACTCACCAATAATTCAAAGTTTTTTAGCGCTGTAATTTTCTCTCATTATTATTGTCTAATTGTAAAAATAAATATGGCTACAATTATTAAAGTGTGTGAATCGTTATTAGAGTTAGCAAAATTAAAATACCCTGTTCCTGATACATCTTTAGTAGAAGATAATTTTAACTTGGATCAGTTAGCTAGTGAAGCACTTGTGTTAATTGAAAATTTATTGAATCCTGACAGCAGTGAACGTGAAACAGTTATTTCATTAGATATTGATTGTGACGATGAAATTGATATTTATGAAAATGAAGACGTTCCTGCAAGTGAAAACGACGCTAATTCACGTGAATCAGGTCTCGCATCATCCCAAGAATGGCAGGTCGAAAAAATCGGGCAAGAAGAATACAATCTTGAAGAAATGATAAAGATCGTGAATTTTTATAACAATGTTAAAACCAACAAATTGTTTCAAACCCAGCGACGTTTCCCAAAAGTTAGAAGTTATGCGTCAATCTCTCGGATGAAAACGTATGTTGATCAGAATGGTAAAAAGCTGGAGAAATTAAGTAAAGTGGAAACTTTTGTCAAGGAGAGATTTAATCATGCTAGACAATCTTTAATTCATGTTAGTGAAGTTGATTTAAAGCGTTGGGGAATCATCAAATCCAAAGATTTATCTTTACAATTTAAGGCTAGCTCAACATGGATTCACAACTTTAAGAAAAAAAATCGAATTGTTTCACGCAAAATAACGAAATATTTAACAAAAGCTGAATATGACAATAAAAGTAATGTCGAAGAAGCAGCCTACACGTTTGTGGAAAATGTCAACAAAAAACTTATAGGTGTTCAACCAGACCTTGTACTCAATTTTGACCAATCTGGATTTACATATGAATATTCACCGAAGCGGACTTTATCAATTAAAGGAGAGAAGGACACTCTTGGATTGGTTGTTTTGCACAATGCTAACACACATTCGTACACTGTGATGCCATTATTATCCATGAGTGGAAAATTTATCGGAAAATTATTAATTTGCCTCCAGGAACCACAAGGATATTTGGGTCCAATAGTCAAGAAAAATCTCGAGGTTCCATCCAACATTTATTTGGTCGCCTCCAAGTCAGGAAAGTTGGACAAAACTATTATGAAGAAATGGATTACTGATTGCGTTGCTCCATACATCAGTGAAAATAAAGCCATCCTAATTTACGATTCTTGGGCAGGACAAGTTGACGATTTGACCTACGAATCACTTTCAGAACAATGCAACATCCATCATTCAACCATTGGATAAATATATTTTCAGACAATACAAAATATTTCGTCGAAAGATATTTGAAAAAGTAGTCCTAGATTCCATTGATATCGATTTACATAAAAGACAAAACGTAATTAAAATGCAGTGCTTAATGTACAACCAGTTCCAGTCAGCTGCTTTTGAGCCGATGTTCAAATACGCATGGTTTGCATGCAACTATAAGAGTGACCGAGTGAAGTTTAAAAATGTGGCAGAAACATTATTTTCGACTAGTTTTGATGACTGTGAGGAGGAAATGTGCAATAGAGAGACTTTTATCAAATGTGCTCACTGCTCTGTTAATATGTGTTTTCATCACTTTTACATCGATAATCACTTTCATTCGGATGATTCAGATTTGGATGAACTCGCTTCGCTTAATTCAAGTCAATAAATGTAAGTACTTGAAGATTATTATATTATTATTTAAGAAAACATTATTATTGGATTGCTGAAATTTATTTGGAGAAATGCAAACGGAGAGTGACGAGTGAAGGGGTGGAGTGGAGTTGACCTCGCGAGCTCGGTCAGCCTCGCCCTCCTCTCCCACTCGCCCGCTCCTCCACCCATTATTTCGCAATCTTCGGAGCCTAATAAAAAATTCGCGAATTGCATTTTCAGAAAAATTTTTGCAGTTTACGCTTGAAACATAGTATGATGTATGCAAAAAGTTAAATTAGAACTCATTTTTCGCCTATCATGTAAAAGGTACCCCTAGTCAGATCGGGGTGGGACCAATTTTATTTTGTTCACCACAAAAAATAAGCATACCCGTATTTTTTCATTTTTCATAATGCGCTAATTTGAGCGCGAGGCGCGATTTTTAAAACATTTTCCAGCCAAAACCTCGCTTTTTAAAAATTCTGTAAATTTTCGAATTTTAATGCGAATCCAAAAATTCGAAAACATGTCTCTTCAGAATGAATTACTTGACTTGTAAAAAATCCAAATTTATTATTTTTTTAAAAATTAAAAATTTGAAAGAATTTGTAATTTTAATGAATTTCAAAAACTGGCAAAAAATTTTCAAAATCATATTTTGAGACAATTGGATTTTTCATAAGTCAGGCAAGTCATTCTGAAGAGACATGTTTTCGAATTTTTGGATTCGCGCTAAAATTCGAAAATTTACAGAATTTTAAAAAACCGAGGTTTTGGCTGAAAAATGGTTTAAAATTCGCGCCTCGCGCTCAAATTTGCGCATTAGGAAAAATGAAAAAATACGGGTATGCTTATTTTTTGTGGTGAACAAAATAAAATTGGTCCCACTCCGATCTGAGTTGTACACGTAAAAGACTTGCATTGTTAGACTAGATACATATATGTAAATACTTAAAACGTTGTTCGACGTAATCCTGAAAGAAAGGGTACAATTTGAATTAAAATTAGAAAGCATTTGTAGCAGAGGTCGACGCCGACAAATTTTCGGCGCCAGTTTTTGGTGATTTTTCGGCGGCGTCGGCGGCGCGCCGTCGCAATGTTAAAGGAATAGGAAATCAAATTTTTCGGAGGCGGCGGCGCGTAAAATGCATCGGCGTATGGCGGCGCGGCGGCGTGAGATCGGCGGCGTCGACCTCTGATTTGTAGTGTGTTTGTATCTTTTTATTTTGTGTTTAACACATTTTAACTTCCCGTCACCAAAGTTAAAAATGTAATGCTTGAACATTTATTTATTTTCCTTACAGAATGTTCATCAGTATCAATAAAGAGTATCAGGCCGTCTACCCCATATCTGATGTGACATCAACCCTAAAATTAAGGGGTGTCCTTGACACTCGAAACCTTTCAGTAACCGACCTTCATCCCGTTTTCCAAAACGATTCTAATATCTATCTCCGTGTTTGGGACGCGTTAGACTTAATTCCTGCTATAAATGACGCATCTACATACTAAGGGACTCATCATCAGTACAAACGTGGCTGTCACTGCTGCTCAAACTTTTTCAGAGAATACAACCTGCCCTGAGGTATGTGCAAAGTTTGTACCTTGTACGGCATGTAACAAGCCGTATACTATTACATACTCCTCTAATTCCATGGCACACGCACTTTTTAACTGGGCCAGAGCTTATTCTTAAAGGGGTAAATCAGGTAAATGTATATATAACCGGTGGTCACATTAATCCAACTTAACAGCTAAGGAATAGCTTAGCGAGCGAGTGGTGACAGAGATTGTACAAACACTCACGAGAGAAAATCACGTATTAACTGGCCATCATAACTGTTTACTAATATGATGTTTAAAGCTAACAAGGGACACTCACGACCTGTCGTTTGAGTCCAGAGTACCCACTATGTTTTTTAGAATCTACTAGGACCCCAGATGAAGGATTCATTCGTATTTCCGTGTAAAACTCATATTTGGCCCAATGGCGTGGCGCTAAACTTAAAAATTTGCATTTTCGACCAATTTCAAACCCCCATAACTTTTGCAGTTTATGTCGGATTTTTAAAATTTTATGCTTAAAATGATCAGAAAAGTCGAAATTTTAGAGAAAAAAATAAAAATAAAAAAATTTTAATTTTTGAGATATTTTTAGCATTTTTTCGACGAACCCGAAATTTCGAAATTTTGCGAAAAGTTAAAAGCGATAATTTTAGAAAAAATTTCATAGAATACGAAAGTTGAACATTTGTCATGATTTTTGCCAAAAATTTAGGAAATCCGCCCAGGATTTCAAAAGTTATGGCGGTTTTAAAATGAAAAACCGTCAAATTTGGCGAATTTGGCGCCACGCCATGGCGCCAAATATGAGTTTTACACGGAAATACGAATGAATCCTTCATCTGGGGTCCTAGTATATTCTAAAAAACATAGTGGGTACCCTGGACTCAAACGACAGGTCGTGAGTGTCCCTTGTAAGATTATTCCAAAACTTGACGCATGCGAGGATTATATCATAACCTCACCATATATTTTTTTTCTTTGAAGGAAATTGATGACAAGTTGTTCCACTGCATTACAAACCTAAATTGTCCTAAGGGCACTATACTACTGAAAGGACACGGAGTGCCTACCGGTAATTGTGTGGAAAGTGATATAGACGCGGCAATAAAGACGTGTGAAATAGAAGGATGGTGCCCTGTGGCACGAAATACTCGCCCTCTGTAAGCAAATTTTGCCTTATGCGGACCCAATTTTTCGCACTAATTCGCACTAATTGCATCCTTCTTCATGTATATTTAGAAAGTCCGGAAAAGCCCTCTTGTCCGAGGCCCACATTCTAACGATTTTTTTAAAGTCTACGGTCAGAATAGACGCGCTTGACGTTTCACTCAATAATATTAAACAAATTCAAAACATGAAGAACGGACCAGACATAGAATCATGTATTTTTGACCCAGACTCACCAATGGACCAACATTGTCCCAGATTTCGGCTTGGTGACATTATAAAATATGCTATTCAAGAGGGCAATAAAACTGGAGATGATCTCGATTTCGACCAAGTGGCCCTAGATGGCGGGGTTTTCATGCTTAAAGTAGCATACGACTGCGACATGGATTGCTATTGGAAGATTGCCTGCCCAAGTATAGCTTCAAACAGGTTGGTGTCCACCAGACGTATGACGGAAGTATTGAGCAAACCTCGCAGGGATATTCGTAAGTCAACTTATCAGACACATTAATTTAAGTTTTGACACTTTATGTGACAACACTTAAATTGATATGTGACGCACATATGTATCAATTCGTAAAACCGGCTTAAAATGAATGGCGATGATAGTTCAAAGCTCAAATTTTATGCAAACTTATACGTTAGAAATGGGACACATGCCAGGCTGATGCCTACATCCCAGAAGGAGAAAATGCGTACACTCTTAGCAAAACAGTATTGAATCATCACCAAAGGCCCTTTGGCAAAGGGGGAGCCGACATGACTTAACCAAATTGTGATAATATTTACCCCACATTGTGATAAATCTTCCCCACAATGTGCAAACGTAACACTGGATAGTGAGGATTTTACACATTGTGGGGAAGATTTATCACAATGTGGGGTAAATATTATCACAATTTGGTTAAGTCATGTGGGCTCCCCGTTTGGTGATGATTCATTCTGATTCAATACAGTTTTGCTAAGAGTGTAGCAATTTCAGAAAATATAAACTTTCTACTGCACATTTTCTCTAATTGGTGGTGCAAATATCTTTGCCAGATCAGTGCATTGTGCGATCGTGTCTTTTATAAGCTGCATACTAATTATATTTCTGATCCTTTGAAATCAGTTTGTTCAGCATTTGAGTGCATACGCTGGGAGACGTCCATTTCATTTTATGAAAATCCACTTTGAAATACACGTATTGCTTTTTACAACGTTTTCATAATATGCTGAATGTTTCAGATCTGTAAACTACTACGCGTACAATTTAAGAGCCGTAGTTATGTATGACGGGATAAGAATAGCCGTGAATATTGAAGGAAAAGCGAGAAATTTCACATGGACAGCATTGTACAGCGAAATGGGAGTTTTCTTTAGTTGGCTTTCCGCAGTGGTGAGTAGACTCAAAACAAAACTGTGTCAATATACGACTTAACCGCCTTGGTTACAATTGTGATTCCGAGTAGTAATGAATTTTTTCCGTCTGGTCATAACATTATAACTACCCGTATCAAAATCATCATAACTCGGATTCAACCTTTTAACAAAGGCGGTTAAGTCATATATTGACACCGGCGGTGTTGATTCGAAAAATTTTTATTTTGAGTGTAGACCTACTTTATTAATTACGGGATAACTTTGAGTAATGGACTTCAATGCTTGAAATTACCTTAGTTTAGCACAGTGGCGCTTCTTACGGGTTGTTTCTTGCTGCCATACCTGAAAAATAAAAATGTACCCACTTCATCAAATTGTAACTGTTCGTGTCATGCTGGTAATGTGGAACCGGATCCAAGCAATGCTTCAGAAGATGTGGAACCACTTGTCCCTTGACAGAATGGACGCACGTGTGGCGCAAGAAGATGTAACGATTGAATTAAATATTTATTTTGTATAAATTCATATGTACATATGATGATATCCAAATTTACGCTATTTTAGGCTGTTGTAAGTAAAGAATCTAAGTAGGAGTATCTGCATAAAATTGTTTATTTCTTGTAATTTCAATACGTTGTATCTTTAAAGTGACAAAAAACAAAAATAATACTGGAAAAGTATGTCAACTATGCATAATTATGTATTTATATGAGTACATGCATATACATATGTAGCAAGTTATTCATAATTGATGCACCAAGTTAAGATATGTATGTATTATGCAGATGCATATGTATGTTGAAACCAAGTTCCATGCAAATCAATATCTTCTTCGAGTTAAGTTGATTCGGCTTTCTATGCAAATTGGGATGAACATGGAAAAGCGATGGGGGCATGTTTGTGTATCTCTCGTCCACACTTTTCATCTCACACAAATGAAATTCATGTAGTATCAACTTGCCGACCAACAGAAACTATTAGTCCAGTACATGCTCCGCGTACATTTTTCGCTCGAAACCATGAGAACCAAATATTCCCACTGTAAAGCACTGCCTCATGTCACACATCGACGATGACTTGAACTTCTGAATTACGTGACAGAAATAGTACTTCCAAGTGCGAGTATGAATTTTGATGCACTCGGCTTTTATGATATCCATGAGAAATGAAGATGTTTACCGAAATTTTGCAAACAAATACTTTTCATTCATTTGTAATAATAACCAGAATGTATTTCTTCAGTTAAAAAGTATATATTGGTTAATTAGATGTGATTAAATAGCAAAATAATCCATCTAACAATTCTCCGTTCAATCAACTTCATATAATATCAATGTAATCAACACAACACGATCTGTGTAAAAGGAAATAGAGAGTAAAACAAATGACCATAGTTAACACTTCAAGCAAGCTTAATTAAAATTTACTCAAAGTTGAACCAAATTCGATCCGGAGTGACCGATTGTCAAAAATTGTGGACAGACCCATTATTGTGAGCCCTAAGTTACCACTGACTATAGGTACTTCTATTTATATAATACACACGTTACATACGTTAAAAAATCGTAAACAATATTTATGTAGATATGTAGATAGTAAATACATAAATAATAAATAAATTGTACTGCGCAAAATTTCTATGTGGATAGAGATGATGCAACCTAAATAAACTATTTCGTAGTAATCGCGATTAAGGCATTGGTAGTAGTTACGGAAATTATACAACTTACCCACAATCAATTAAACAATTTGCGAACAGTAGTAATTTGCAAATGATGTAAATATGTACTTATGTATGTATGTATGTATATTTAATAAGTTTATTTTTATAAATTACACGCGCGAGATAATGACATTAACTAGATAATAGAAAGGCTAGCGAACAAGATAGATAAAATTAATACATGTTTTGTAATAAATTTACTATGACCTGAACAGTATGTAAACGATGCTGCAAACTTTTAAACTTTACATGTAAAATTTGTCTCTTGTTTTCATACCCAGTTCAGTAGTCAATCCTATCGAATCCGATTCATGGTATACAAACTGTTTTTCTCGGATCCGTTGGACCAACTTTAGCCTCAAATATGAGATAAGTACCGGACTTCATATTTTACATTTCTAAATCCTACATCATGTGAAACAATATAACATTTCTCGATACGAATAATTTAATACATATCGCCCTTTTTACCATTCCATAAGCTTGAAGTCCAACATTAATTAATAGCTTAGCGGAACATAGAAATTTGACCATAGTATTGTACACGGTGGTTAGCAGAATTAATTACTACCTTAACTAATCTACCACGCGTACATATCATCTACCCAGCAAAATAGTATCTTTTCCCGACCCATATTTTTAGTAATCAAGTAAGCAAAATTTTTCCCGCTTGTCAACCAGTGGCGGGGCTAGGATATTTTCGGACGTGGGCACCAGAAAATTTTTTTATCCGTAACCCCTCCCTCCCCCAACTTCGTGTTTTTCCTGCGTAAGGATTGCTTTGGTTTATCCGACTTACATACATACAATGCGATGGTGCCAGGTGTAACCCTCCGACTTCGTTGAAATTTTAAAATTATGTGATCCAACTCAATGCAACTTTACAACTATTGAGCATTTTACTTAAGCGGGCCGATTTCTCTACCATGGTCTCAGTCCGTCTCCCGTGTTAATCAAGTGGGAATATGATTGGTGAAACATGAAACATGGTTTCTGACGGACCATTGCATGAAGATTTCAATAAAAAATAGTACAACTTTCTAAAAAAATGTCCAGCCTGCTTAGTTTACCCGGGAAATCTTGTAACAGTTCTTTTGCGAGTACCAGGTAAATTTTCTGTCAAAATTTTTCAGATCGATGTAAATTTTGCGATTCCAATCCGACTTCAAACATTCAGAAATACGTTTATCGAGAATTGACAATGCGATGGTGTGAGGTGGTTATCGCCGATATCGACCGAACTAATTTTTCTTAGGTGAGGCTATGGTTACTGAAAAAATACCTAAGTAAGCATTCACTCGGGTTCTGAAAAGTGACCACAGCCCATAACTTTGTCATTTCTCAACCGATTTCGATGAAATAAAAGCCCAGAGTCAATTATAATCATGAAGAACCCAATTCTCAGCTGCCATGCACGAACTCTTCTTATTTTGTGATTAATCGTTCAAAAACCACTTCTATGACAACATTTTGCCTTATTATGCAAAAGTGAAGCATTTAACAGAAAATGTGCGTGGATGGAAACGTGACAAATATAGCTACCTTTCATTTAAAATTATAATCATCAAAATCGGTTGAGAAATGAAAAAGTTTTCCCTTTGACAAAAAATGAACCTTTGGGTTTAGGGCCGGCGCTGAAGGGGTCAGGTCGCCTAGCAATTGAAAAGCTTTGATTCAAATTTTTAAAAGGTGCAAGTGTAAATATGTAAAATTTCCTAACAGGCAGGGCATTTTACATGATATTTTGCAAAGACTAAATGAGACGAGGTTGTATAACGTCATTTAGTCTTTGCAAAATTTTGCATCCGTCAGATAATTTTCATAATCAAAATTTTTCTTAACAAATTTTCAACACCTATTTCAAATATTTGAACCAAACCTTCGTTACTCATTCATCGCGATATTACCAATTAAAAGCTTAAAATAAACTAAACCCTTAAAAGGATTGCTTAGGTGAGCCTGGAGTATGTGCGATTAAAAGTTTGAAATAACCCCCTCCCTCCTCCCACCCTGGACAGAAATTCTTGGTAAAATGAGCATCACCGCCCTGGGAATAATTTCATCACGGTTAAATAATTTCGCCCCCAAATATCATGTACTTGGTCTATATTAAGTAAATCAATTCTTGCAGTTTACGCATCTACTGGTTTTATCGTTAGAATGACCATTGGAGGCTGTTGATCTTTCGTTAATAATGTACAGTAACATTATTGAAAAGTTCATTCGGTAAGTGAAAAGAGACATGGGCTGGGGCTTATTTCACTTTGAGTGCGGAGCCAAGAGACAGATAATCAGCCATTCTTAGATATGTTTATGTAAATTCTATATGCTAATCCTTTATGTTATATTTGCACTGCAAAAATGTGTGCAATTCAAAAATTATTCCCAGGGTGGTGATGCTCATTTTACCAAGACTTTCTGTCCAGGGTGGGAGGAGGGAGGGGGTTATTTCAAACTTTTAATCGCACATACTCCAGGCTCACCTAAGCAATCCTTTTAAGGGTTTAGTTTATAAATTGTTAACGCTAAAAAATAAGTGGACCCGTAGTTTTGCGTTTTCTGAATGGACATGATTAGGCCCGTGGCGGGATCTAAAAATCAGTCAAAATCCGGATTTAAAAAAAGAAAACGCTGCAACCTTTCGAATTTTAACCCGATTTAAAAAATTAAACACATTTTTTTCTCAGAATTACTTCCCTGAAATTACAAGAATTCATTTAAAAAACTTTTAACTTTCACAAAATTATGGATTTCAGCATTTTTAAAAATTCAAAAACGGCATGAAAATATCAAATTTTAAAATTTGTAAAAATCAGTTTATATTTGCAGTTTATATTTGGAACTAATTCTGGGCAAAAATTTTGCTTAATTTTTGAAATCGCATTAAAATGAGAAAAGAGTCGATTCGAAAAGGGTTTCGAAAAATCGTGATTTTGACGGAATTTATGTAAATTCCGCCATTGGCGAAAACATGCGCATTCTGAAAACCGCAAAAATATATGTCCGTTATTTTGTAGCGTGAACGATTTAAAATTAGTCCGATCAAAATCAGCGGTAACCACCTTACACATCTTCATTGTTAGCACAATTGTAAAAAAGTAGCAATTTTTAGAAATTGTTCAAAAAACAAAGTTGTGGAAAGGTTTTGAAATTTTGAAATTAGATAAATTGTGAGAAATATTGAAAAAAATCAAAAAATTCTGAAATTATTATTTTCCAACGTATTTTTGTAAAAGAATACCTTAGAACATCCCTCTCTCCAAGGCCCCAAAAATGCATAACTTTAATAATTTATATCATGAAAAGTTGATCGAGCTACAATCCAATTTTTTTATCAATAAACAATCAACTCTTTATCTTCATGTTAAAAAAAATCTGGCCTGTAGCTCGATCAACTTTTGGAGCTAGAGCCATAATCCCGAGGGGGTTTTTGTCAAATTTATTACCCGAAAAAGCTAAAAAGTGGTCACCTGGTTGCCAACCAAAAATCACATAAAAAATATCCCAAAAATACAGCTTCGCGTAGCCCCAGCCAGGATTTATTGTTAAATAAATTTAACTCCTATTTCGACCAGACCAATTTTACTGGACAGAAACAATCACTTTTATGTGTATATATGGATTTAAAAAGCTAAACTTAAAAATTTTGCACAATTTAAAAATATGAAACCTTATATGCTTGGTATTACAGTACGTAACATATATTCAGCTACGATGTATTAATAGCGAGTTACACCCAGCCAAAAATAATTTTTTGTATATATATAATGATGCTCAATGACCATGGATTCAAAAATTAATTGATGCATTTTTAAGTGGGTATTTTTGGTCAACGGGGTCATTTATAATGAATAATTCAGGGTCATTTTTTTAATTGGAAATCCCAGAATTTTTTGGGTAACTTACTTGTCACTTTGAATTTTCAATTCATATAGCACTTCCTGGCCTTTGATTG